GTCCCCTCGTGCTGCTCCTTGCGTCTTCCTAGGCTTCCCCCCTGACGCGCCAGGGTGGCAGTTCTACCACCCCACCTCTCGCCGTGTTCTGTCCTCCCAGGACGTCACGTTTGACGAGTCGGTCCCCTACTACCGCCTCTTCCCCTACCGCACTCCGTCCCTCCCACCGCCACCGCTCTTCCTTGTCCCAGGTCCCCCCCCGGTAGACCCCCTCCCCCCTCAGGGTCCTGCCCCTTCAGGTGTGTCCCAGGTAGACGCAGTCGAGCCTGTCGAGGTTACTGGTGACTCTGGTGCTGCTGAGGGTGCTGAGCCTGGGGGTGCTGACTCTGGGGGTGCTGAGCGTGTGGGTGCTACGCCTGGGGGTGCTGAGCCTGAGGGTGCTACTACTGGGGGTGCTGAGCCTGAGGGTGCTGAGCCTGGGGGTGCTACTACTGGGGGTGCTGAGCCTGGGGGTGCTGAGCCTGGGAGTGCTACGCCTGGGGGTGCTACACCTGGAGGTGCTGAGCCTGGGGGTGCGGAGCCTGAGGGAGCTGGGCCTGCTCGTGTGGCGTCTGGCGGTGCTGAGCCTGGAGGTTCTCCAGGTGCTTCGTCTCGACGGGAGGCACTCTCTCCACAGGAGCTGCGCGAGTGGTTTGCCCGGCGCTGGAGGCGTGCTGCTGGAGCTGGAGGTTCTTCGGCTGCTGAGGGTGCTGGTGCCGCGGGTCCCGGAGGTGCTCGTACTGGGAGTACTGGAGCTGCTGGGCCTGCGGGTACGACTGGAGCTGGAGCTGCTGAGGGTGTTGGCGCTGAGGCTACTACTGTCGGTCCTGGAGGCGGTCCTGCTGGGGGTGCTGGAGCTGGAGGTACTGCTGGCGCTGGTGCTGCCGCTGGGGGTACTGGTGCTGTCCCTGCTGTGTCTGGAGTCGCCACACGGCCTAGGCCGTACTTCGTTCCGCTCCTTCAGCAGGTTCTTGGTCTCCCGCCTTCTACTGGTCCTCCTCCTCCCTTAGAGTGTCCACAGCCTGTCCCGTCACAGTTACAGTTACAGCCGGCCTCCCCACTGCCCGCTCCTTCTCCCTACACTGGTCCTACTGGAGGTCTTGCTGAGCGTCGTGAGCCTGTGTCTCGCCCTGCGTCGCCTGTCCGTGCTTCTCGCACTAGTGGTCGTGGTTCGCGTCAGCGTCCTCCTCCTGTCCCTGGCACGCACCGGATGTCTCTGCGTCCGTCCACTGCTCCTCTGCGTGCCCCTTTGCCTTCTCCCCCTGAGTCCTCTCTTCCTGCTCTTCCTGACCCGGAGTCGGACTCTCTTCGTGCTGCCAGTCCTACTGTCACGCGTCTCCTTGCTACTGTTGTCACTGACCCTTCCTTTGAGTCCACTGCTGCGTCTGCCCTAGTTACTGAGCTCGTCGACTTTGCTGCTCGCTGTCGTCTAGACTACGCTGCTAGTCTTGTTGCTGAGTCTGAGTCTATCTGTCCTCCGTCCGTCGGGGGTGAGTGTGCCCTTGGCACGGACGTCCTTGAGGACAGGCAGGAGGAGTTCCAGTGTTTGGCTGCTGCTTCACCTCATCTCGTGTCCGTACTGCTTACCCCTGAGGGAGACCCGGATGCACTTGACATCCCGACTCCGCGCTCTTACGCGGAGGCGATAGAGGGTCCCTACTCCTCTCAGTGGCAGGCAGCTATGGACGCAGAGATGGCTTCCTGGAAGTCCACAGGCACCTACGTTGACGAGGTTCCCCCGCCTGGGGCGAACATCGTCAGTGGCATGTGGATTTTCAGGGTGAAGCGGCCGCCGGGTTCTCCGCCTGTCTTCAAGGCGCGTTACGTGGCTCGTGGCTTCAGTCAGCGGCAGGGAGTTGACTACTTTCAGACCTTCTCTCCCACCCCGAAGATGACCACTCTTCGGGTACTGCTGCACATAGCTGCTCACCGCGACTACGAGCTGCACTCTCTTGACTTCAGCACTGCTTTCTTGCAGGGCAGCCTGCACGAGGAGATCTGGCTGCGTCGCCCACCTGGCTTCACTGGGTCTTTTCCTCCTGGCACCCAGTGGAGCCTCCGGCGGCCAGTCTACGGTCTCCGCCAGGCACCGCGTGAGTGGCACGACACACTGAGGACTACACTTGCGGCTCTTGGGTTTGCTCCCTCTACTGCCGACCCGTCGCTGTTTCTGCGCACCGACACTTCTTTGCAGCCGTTCTACATCCTCGTGTACGTCGACGACTTGGTCTTTGCCACAGCTGACACTGCTGGACTCGCCCACGTGAAGTCCGAGCTGCAGAAGAGACACACGTGCACAGACCTGGGTGAACTGCGCAGCTACCTTGGCTTGCAGATCACCCGGGACAGAGCACGCCGCACCATTACCCTGACTCAGTCACACATGGTGCAGCAAGTCCTTCAGCACTCCTCTGCCTACTCGCCACTCGCTCTCAGCTCTGCCTTCGGATGAGTCCGTAGAGTCGAGTGGCCCGTACCCAGAGCTTGTTGGCTGCCTCATGTACCTGATGACCTGCACACGACCTGACCTTGCATACTCTCTTAGCATTCTTGCACGCTATGTTGCTCCTGGGAGACACAGACCGGAGCACATGGCTGCAGCGAAGAGGGTGTTGCGCTACTTGTGCAGTACATCGGGCATGGGGCTTGTGCTTGGAGGGCAGAGTCCAGTGGTCCTCACTGGACACGCAGACGCTTCTTGGGCTGACGACCAGGCTACGCAGCGGTCGTCACAGGGTTACACCTTCAGCCTTGGTTCCGGCTCTGTTTCGTGGCGGGCTACTCGCTCGTCTTCTGTTCTCGGCTCCAGTTGCGAGGCTGAGATCTACGCCGGGGCCATGGCTGCACAGGAGCTTCGCTGGCTCACCTACCTGCTGACTGACCTCGGAGAGCCGCCTCGTTCTCCTCCAGTGCTCTACGTAGACAACAAGGCCATGCTGGCCTTGTGTCGAGAGCAGAGACTGGAGCACAGAACAAAGCACATTGCTCTTCGCTACTTCCTTGCTCGTGAGCTACAGTAACGCGGTCAGCTGCGACTTGCGTACGTGGCCTCTGAGGCCAACACTGCTGATATCTTCACCAAGGCACTTGCGCCTTGTGATCATCAGCGCTTCTGTACTCAGCTGGGTCTTGTGCCTACCTTGCCTCACTTGCTCACCTCTTGACCTTGTTTGTACTGTTGCATATATATATATACTCCTGCTCTTGCTTGTTTAGCCTTACATATATATGTAATCCTGCATGTGAACTGGCCTTGTGGCCTTGAACTTGTGCTCGGAATGTGTGGTGACTTTGTGATCCACCCTGAGCTTGCTTTGCTTTGCTTGACTGGTCTTGTGACCCCTTGTTCTCCCCCACTTTGCCTATGGGGGTGTGTCAGAGTTATTTGACATAGCTACTGTAGGCTATAGTGGGGTAGCACATATGGGGTACAGTTTCCTAGGGTTTGCCTTTTGTACCCAACTTTCACTTAGTCATTCCATTCCTGTTTTTCTTGATTCTGACACATCTGTGGTATCGAATCGAAATCTTAAAACGTGTGGATAAATATTTTTTTTGTAAAACTAAACGTTTAGACATTAGCGCGCTCACAGTGTGCGCGAAACACAGAGCAAAGACTAAACGCAGAGCGAGACTCTTTCCCCTGTAACAAAGGGCGCGTTACTACTCTGATCTTCGTTTCTCGACCCTGAACAATCAGAGTTATATACTTTTCAACCCTGAGCAATCAGGGTAGCATCATTCTGAAAAATGTGCACTCATAATTGAGGGGAAAAAAAATTCCCGAAATCAGGGAGGCCTAATATGAAACGTCAGCCCTGCTTCAAACTCCATAAAACCCAGCGGGGTCGCGAATGCGGCTGACCTGGAGAGTCCCTGGCCATCGGCCAGCTGGCGTTCCTACAGCCAATAACAGCATACGGAGATAACCAATGGAGCGAAGGCAGCAACATGGGACTGACGACTGGGCCAGTGTATCGACACAATGGATCGGCGGAGATCCCTCAGCAGGAGGTGCCAGCAGAGAGAGAAAAATCATGGCAAATGCCCATGCGCAGGGAATGGAATGGACTGAGCTTCCCGCGGTATGATGTCAATGCTAAGCTCACCCTCCAACCCCTCCTCCTCCCCTGCGTTCCCGCTGTCGCGATATATATTTTATATATGTTTATAACTGCCTGTAGCTTTAGCCTTAGTGTAGTTATGCCTTCTTGTTGTTGGTGGTGCACCGTTGCTATTTTGCTATATGTACCTTGTGTGCTATAGTGAAACCAATTATTCTCGATTCTCCCTTGGCACAACTCCCTCGACACCCGCTTGGCCTAGGCTTCTAAGCCTAGGCCCTTAATTAAACCCGGTTACCAGTTCAGATCGTATCGTAACACCCGCCCCCCCCCCACCCACGTTCCCATCCCCATCCCCGTTTCCACCTCTGCTTCCGATCCTGTCCCTGTTCCTCGAGTACTGCACATCGAGAACCGCACATCGAGAACCGCACATCGACACCCTAAATTTACTGCCTGTGCTGCATTGCCAATTGCTCCCGTGGTTAGCAGCACCAGCAGCAGCAGGCGCAGAAGCAGCAGGAGCAGGAATCGCAGAAGGATTAGCAGGAGCAGTGGGAGAAGCAGCAGAACCAGCAGCGACAGGAAGAGTTACAGAAAAGAAGATTGACTATTGACTGTGCTGGAAATTGTGTCTATCTATGGCACACCATCTCTGGAACCACCAGCCGCACCCGCAGCAGCAGCACCAACTACACCGGCAGCAGCAGCAGTAGCAGCAGCAGCAGCAGCAGCAGCAGCAGCAGCAGCAGCAGCAGCAGCAGCAGCAGCAGCAGCAGCAGCAAGAGGCGCCTTTTGAGGTGCCTCAAATGCAACGGCAGGGGCGGGTAGAGCAGCAATGGTAGGGGCAGGGAGAGCAGCAGCAGGAGCAGGGGCAGGGCGAGCAGCAGCAGCAGCAGCTGCCCCATCCACGGGCCCGTCGTGAATGATAGTGATGGTGACGGGGGGAGGCGGCTTTTAAGGCGCCTCAAAAGCAGCGGCAAGGGCAGGGAGGGCAGTAGTGGCAGCAGCGGCAGCAGCGGCAGGGGCAGGATCGGCAGCTGCCCCATCCACGAGGCCATCATGGATGATGGTGATGGTGACGGGGCGAGGGGGGGGCTTGGGGTGGTTGTGCTCGCCGAAATTCTTGATGCGCCAGTTGAAGGGGTTGTCGTTGCACCTCTCCGCCCACTTCTTGGCCGGACAGGGACGCAACGAGGGATCATCGTATTTGTGCGCACAGCGGAAGTAGCTCCTGGGGGAAGAGGGGGGTTGGGGGAGGCGTGGGGGTGGGGGGAAGGAGGGGAGAGAGGAAGGGTGTGTTTACTATGCCCTTGGTCCGTCAGTTGGACGGAACGGGGTGTTGTTACGGCGCTCGACCCATTCTACGACCGGGCGGGATGGGGGTGAGATAATGCCAGAGAACGGGGCAGGACAACATATCGACGGCAGCAGAAGGAGGGCATGGGGTCATGGAAGCATGGGGACATGGGGGCATGGGGGCATGGGGGCATGGGGACATGGGGGCATGGGGGCATGGGGGCATGGGAGCATGGGAGCATGGGGGCATGGGGGCGAGGGGGCATGGAAGCATGGGGGCATGGGGGCATGGGGGCGTGGGGGCATGGAAGCATGGGGGCATGGGGGCATGGAAGCACAATGGGGGGACCCCATTCCAGCACAAGGGAGTGGAAGGGGGAGAGGAGAGGGGGGGGAGAGTGGCGGCACAGCGAGAGGGGGGAGGGCCTGGAAGGCAGAAGGGCAAGGCAGGTACCTGGGGTAGGCCTGGCCGAGGGTGACCTTCTGGCCGTACTTGCGCCACTCCCACCCGTCCATTGGCATCTCTGGCGCCGAGGGCGTGCGTGGCATGCGCTGCCTGCCAGGGGGAGAAGGGAGGGAGAGGCGCGTCACGAGAGTTGCGTTATGAGACGTCCCATAACTCAACTTGTATCATGCCCAGCATGCACGGCCTGCCAGGGGGGGGGGGGGGGAGCGGGTGTGGGAGAGGCGCGTCATGAGACGAGCCACTCCCACCCGTCCATTGGCATGTCTGGCGCTGATGGCATGCGCGGCACGCGCGGCCTGCCACGGGGAAGGGGGAGCGTGTGTGGGAGAGGGCAGTAAGGAGCAGCGGCTTGAGACAAGACACTCCCACCCACCTGACCTTTGGAATCTCCAAAGCTGTGGGCTTCAAAACGCCGGAATGCACGGCCTGCGCGGTCTGCCAGCAGGGTGTGGGGAACGGGGTGACTTCTGAGTCGACTCAAAAATCATCTCCAAAGGTGAGGGCTTTAAAGACGGAATGCACGGCCTGCCAGGGCAAGGGGGAGAGGGGAACGGGTGGAGGTCCAGGGAGGGAGTTGGGGCGGAGTTTGCTCGTCACGAGCGACAAGTGAAAGAGGGTGGAGGATGCACGAGTCAGTAAGGTTCTTGTGTGATCTGCCTGCAAGGTATAAACACGCACCTCTTATGCAGCACTGTCCCATCGTCACCATCATCCTCTGTACCACCATCAACCCCCCCAGGACCAACCCCAGCACCACCAGCGCCAGAGCCAGCAGCAGCAGCTGCAGCACTCCGCTTTGTTCCACCCCCACTCCCACCCCCACTCCCACCCCCACTCCCACTCCCACCGCCACCACCAGCGCCACCACCGCCGCCACCAGCGCCAACAGCAGCAGCCGCAGCAGCAACTGCAGCACTCCGCTTTGTTCCACCACCCCCACTCCCGCCCCCACTCCCACCCGCGGGCGTGGGAAGTGCAGGCGCGGGGGGAAACGCGGGAGGGGGTGTGAAATAACACGGGGGGGAATGCCCTAAAAGAGCGAATAATTCCTCCTCCCATGTGCTGCCCCTCTCGTCCAAGCTTCCCGTTATCTTGGGGGGATGGTTCACCGTGTTATTCCCACGCCCGAGCAACAGAGGGAGAGAGGGACCTGGAACCCCTGCACCTCCCCCCGCTGCTGCCGCCAAACCTTGGGATCCTGTCACTTCCGAATCTTCACTGCCGGAGCTGCTCACCCCGTCCGCGTTCGAACCTAAGCCTGCAGGTCCGGGGGCGGATCCGAGCGGAGCAAGCTGTGGGTGGGCGGAGCCCGGGGGCCGGAAAACGGGGAAGTACAGGGGAGTGACTCTGGGCGGTGGTACAAGGGGGAACACCGCAGGCAAAGGCAGCCTTAACTGCTGCAGCACTGAAGCGGCCCTGCTGCCCACGCTCCGCACCTCCTCCGACATAGGTACCCCAAACGCTCCCGGTGAGAAGAAACAAGAGTGGATGAACTATGAATGAAGTGGGTACAAGTACTAACCCTAATTGGGTTGTACCCCCTATGGGATACCCCACTACAGCCTACACAAAAGTATAAGCTATAACGTTCTGACACACCCCCATAGGCAAAGTGGGGGAGAACAAGGGGTCACAAGACCAGTCAAGCAAAGCAAAGCAAGGCAAGCTCAGGGTGGATCACAACGTCACCACACATTCTGAGCACAAGTTCAAGGCCAGAAGGCCAGTTCACATGCAGGAGTACATATATATATAGATAAGGATAGACAAGCAAGAGCAGGTATATATATATGTAACAGTACAAGCAAGGTCAAGGGGTGAGCAAGTGAGGCAAGACAGGGACAAGACCCAGCTGAGTGCAGAAGCGCTGATGATCACAAGGCGGAAGTGCCTTGGTGAAGACATCAGCAGTGTTGGCCTCAGAGGCCACGTACGCAAGCCGCAACTGACCACGCTGCTGTAGCTCACGAGCAAGGAAGTAGCGAAGAGCAATGTGCTTAGTTCTGTGCTCCAGTCTCTGCTCTCGACACAAGGCCAGCATGGCCTTGTTGTCTACGTACAGGACTGGAGGAGAACGAGGCGGCTCTCCAAGGTCGGTCAGCAGGTAGGCGAGCCAACGAAGCTCCTGGGCAGCCATGGCCCCAGCGTAGATCTCAGCCTCACAACTGGAGCCGAGAACAGAAGACGAGCGAGTAGCCCGCCACGAAACAGAGCCGGAACCGAGGCTGAAAGTGTAACCCTGTGACGACTGCTGCGTAGCCTGGTCGTCAGCCCAAGAAGCGTCCGCGTGCCCAGTGAGGACCACTGGACTCCGCCCTCCAAGCACTAGCCCCATGCCCGACGTACTGCACAAGTAGCGCAACACCCTCTTCGCAGCAGCCATGTGCTCTGGTCGGTGTCTCCCAGGAGCAACATAGCGTGCAAGAATGCTAAGAGGGTATGCAAGGTCAGGTCGTGTGCAGGTCATCAGGTACATGAGGCAGCCAACAAGCTCTGGATACGGGCCACTCGACTCTACGGACTCATCCGAAGGCAGAGCTGAGAGTGAGTGGCGAGTAGGCAGAGGAGTGGCCTGAGGCGAGGAGTACGTGAAGCCGAAGCGCTGAAGGACCTGCTGCACCATGTGTGACTGAGTCAGGGTAATGGTGCGGCGTGCTCTGTCCCGGGTGATCTGCAAGCCAAGGTAGCTGCGCAGTTCACCCAGGTCTGTGCACGTGTGTCTCTTCTGCAGCTCGGACTTCACGTGGGCGAGTCCAGTAGTGTCAGCTGTGGCAAAGACTAAGTCGTCGACGTACACGAGGATGTAGAACGGCGGCAGAGAGGTGTCGGTGCGCAGAAACAGCGACGGGTCGGCAGTAGAGGGAGCAAACCCAAGAGCCGCAAGCGTAGTCCTCAGTGTGTCGTGCCACTCACGTGGCGCCTGGCGGAGACCGTAGACTGGACGCCGGAGACTCCACTGGGTACCAGGAGGGAAAGACCCAGTGAAGCCAGGTGGGCGGCGCAACCAGATCTCCTCGTGCAGGCTGCCCTGCAAGAAAGCAGTGCTGAAGTCGAGAGAGTGCAGCTCGTAGTCACGGTGAGCAGCAACGTGTAGCAGTACCCGAAGAGTGGTCATCTTCGGGGTGGGGGAGAAGGTCTGAAAGTAGTCAACTCCCTGCCGCTGACTGAAGCCACGAGCCACGTAACGAGCCTTGAAGACAGGCGGAGAACCCGGCGGCCGCTTCACCCTGAAGATCCACATGCCACTGACGATGTTCGCCCCAGGAGGGGGGACAGCGTCAACGTAGGTGCCTGTGGACTTCCAGGAAGCCATCTCTGCATCCATAGCTGCCTGCCACTGAGAGGAGTAGGGACCCTCTATCGCCTCCGCGTAAGAGCGCAGAGTCGGGATGTCAAGTGCATCCGGGTCTCCCTCAGGGGTAAGCAGTACGGACACGAGATGAGGTGAAGCAGCTGCCAGACACTGGAACTCCTCCTGCCTGTCCTCAAGGACGTCCGTGCCAAGGGCACACTCACCCCCGACGGACGGAGGACAGACAGACTCAGACTCAGCAACAAGACTAGCAGCGTAGTCTAGGCGACAGTGAGCAGCAAAGTCGACGAGATCAGCAACTAGGGCAGACGCAGCAGTAGACTCGAAAGAAGGGTCAGTGACGACAGTAGCAAGGAAACGCGTGACAGTAGGACTGGCAGCACGAAGAGAGTCCGACTCCGGGTCGGGAAGAGCAGGAAGGGAGGACTCAGGAGGAGAAGGCAAAGGGGCACGCAGAGGAGCAGTGGACGGACGCAGAGACATCCGGTGCGTGCCAGGGACAGGAGGAGGACGCGGACGCGAACCACGACCACTAGCGCGAGCAGTACGGACAGGCGACGCAGGGCGAGACGCAGGCCCACGACGCTCAGTAAGACCTCCAGTAGGACCAATGTAGGGAGAAGGAGCAGGCAAAGGGGAGGTAGGCTGTAGCTGTGACTGCGACGGGACAGGCTGTGGACCCTCCAAGGGAGGAGGAGGACCAGCAGAAGGCGGAAGACCAAGAACCTGCTGCAGGAGTGGAACGAAGTACGGCCGAGGCCGCATAGCGACGCCAGAAACAGCAGGGACAGCACCAGTACCCCCAGTAGGAGCACCCGCTCCAGCAGCACCTCCAGCAGCTCCACCAGTGGTAGTCGCAGCGCCAACACCCTCAGCAGCACCAGCTCCAGTCGAACCTGCAGGCCCAGCAGCTCAAGTACTCCCAGTACGAGCACCTCCGGGACCCGCAACAGCAGCACCCTCAGTAGCCGAAGAACCTCCAGCACCAGCAGCACAGCTCCAGCGCCGGGCAAACCACTCGCGCAGCTCGTGTGGAGAGAGTGGCTCCCGACGAGACGAAGCACGCGGAGAACCTCCAGGCGGAGGACCTCCAGGCTCAGCACCCCCAGACCCAGAACCCCCAGGCGTAGCACCCCCACACTCAGCACCCCCAGGCTCAGCACCCCCAGGCTCAGCACCCCCAGGCGTAGCACCCCCAGACTCAGCACCCCCAGGCTCAGCACCTCCAAGCTCAGCACCCCCAGGCTCAGCACCCCCAGTCTCAGCACCCCTAGGCTCAGCACCCTCAGCAGCACCAGAGTCACCAGTGACCTCGACAGGCTCGACTGCGTCTACCTGGGACACACCTGAAGGGGCAGGACCCTGAGGGGGGAGGGGGTCTACCGGGGGGGGACCTGGTACAAGGAAGAGCGGGGGCAGGGGGAGGGACGGAGTGCGGTAGGGGAAGAGGCGGTAGTAGGGGACCGACTCGTCGAACGTGACGTCCTGGGAGGACAGAACACGGCGAGAGGTGGGGTGGTAGAACTGCCACCCAGGCGCGTCGGGGGGGAACCCCAGGAAGACGCAAGGAGCAGCACGAGGGGACAGCTTGTCCGCAGACAAGTCGCGGACAAACGCCCGAGATCCCCAGACCCGGAACGCCGACGCATCGCCAACCTTCCCCGTCCACAGCAAGGCTGGGGAGGTCTCCGGCGTGGAGACCCTAGGGTGAAGGTTGATCTGATGCGCCGCGTACCTCACCGCAAACGGCCACAGAAAATGGGGGGCAGCTGCATGCATCATAGACGTACGAGCGACGTCCATGACCATGCCAATGCGGCGCTCAGCAATCCCATTTTGCTGCGGAGAGTCCGGAAGCGTGAAGGTCTGACGGATGCCTCGTGCACGACAGTAGGCTCGCAGAAGGCCAGAGGAGAACTCCCCGCCTCTGTCCGAGTGCAGACGCAGAACAGGAAAGTCATAGCCAAAGCTCTGCCTGAGCTGAAGACGAGCTGCGCGGATCCAGTCGATCAGCACCTCAGTGACATCACCCTTGCTGCGCAAGGGGAAGACTGCGGTGTAACGCGAGTAGTCGTCAACAACGAGTAGGAAGTAGCGCTCGTGACCCTGCCCACGGACGCGGGCTGGGCCCCACACGTCCATGTGAAGCGTCTGCAACGGGGCCTCTGTCGGAGGAAACTGGGAGGAGTGAGGAGCAGCACGCTGGCGCCCCTCGACACAGGGGACACAGGTAGGGCCAGGGCCCTGAGGAAGGGGAGGGAGGGACCGGGGGAGACCAGACACTAGAAGACGGGAGGCCATGCCTCTGAGCCGAAGCAGAGAGGGGTGACCAAGACGGTGATGCCAGAGGAGAGTCTCGTGAGACAGGAGACGACACGAACAGGGGGCAGACTCAGGACCAGACCTGGACGCTCCAGCAAACACCCGACCCGACGAAGCGACTCTACCAGACTCAGTAACGGGAGGAGACGCAGTGGTCAGTGTGTACAGGCTCGACCCCGGCTGACGGGTAAACGTAGCCAGGTGTCGGCCTGTGCTAGCCTCTGTACAGTGCGTCACCCGCTGACGCGCAGGAGTGAACTGGTGTACACCCGCATCCTGGAGGTCAGCACCACTCACCAGGTTCGTAGAGAACGAGGGGAGGTAGAGACCAGACAGGGTGCCAGAGGGAGCCGCTGGACACGGGAGGACTGTGGAGAAGCGAGACAGGACAGGACCCCCAGAGGGGTCAGCCAGAGACACTGCAACCGGCCGACTCAGCGGTGTGAGTGTGGTGCGGTCCCGAAAGAAGGAGCGAGACGCCCCAGAGTCAAGGGTGAAGGTGAGGGAGGCCGAAGCCGACGTAGTACCTGAGAGCGCAGACTCACCAGTACCTGAGGACGCAGACACACGGGCACCTAGAGCAGCAGCCTCGCTAGCACCTAGAGCGGCAGCCTCACCAGTACCTAGAGCAGCAGTCTCAATGCCCGGGTCGGGCGGAAAACACCGGTAACAGTCACCCTCATCACTAATAGACACCGCATACATGGCAGAGAGAATAGCATCAAAGTCAAGATCATAGATGGCAACACCCGCCCTGGACAGCTCGCCCCAGCGAGGGATCTCTGAGGCCTCCGGGAACTGGTGACGCCACGC